AAAAAAAGCCAAGGGTGATGTGGCGTTTCCTCTTTCACATCAGAATCCCCCATTTTACATCGGAACCCCCTTATCAGGAGCTCCCTTCACATCAGAGCCCCCCTTATAGACCAGAATCCCGCCTTCACATCCGAGTCACCCGCGAATGCACCTTGGTTAAGGCTCCGTTCACATCATGGCGGTTCGGTTGTGCGGTTTCGTCCACGCTGACCTGCCAACATGAAAAACCCTATACATTCCTATGGGGAGCATTCATGCAATCATGAGGCCCAAACCGCCTGCTTCCCAAAATGCTCCCTCCGCTATTTTTTCACGCTGATCAGCATGTTTTCCATATAGTTTTCAATGGAAACACGATTTACAACGTCCTTTTAAACCTGCTGAAACGCATCCGCCCTGGTGTGAATTGGGCCTGAGAGAGGCTGCCCTAGAGAATGAAGGACGTGAACGATTCTGTTATCCGGTTGGTTAAGCAATGATCTTGTATCTGTAGGATTTCGTTGTATATTCCACGGGGACTAAGCAATCGGTAATGCTGGATTTTATCATTTAAAGTGATTGGGCCTCGATGGCTCCCCCCTCCTTCATAGACCACAGATCCAAGCTCACCCTATGCGACCATGCACATGAGCCGATCAGTCATATTCACAAAGGATCACTTGGTGACTGGATTGACGCATGTCTGTCTGCCTTCTTATGGCTATAGGTACCTCTTAGAAGGTATGCATACCCTCCAGCTCAGCTTTTGTGTGCAACTGCAATCGTTCAGGGCTGGTGCTGCCATTTCTTATGTACCATTCTAAGTTTCAAAGTTTGGTGTCTTCTTAAATTTCCCAACTTTGTAAGAAGTGCTGCTTCTGAATTTGTGCAGGGGCCTGCTGGAGCTCTCGTCACCCCTAATGACTGACTGGGAGGGAGGCTGCTCACATTTACACAAGTATAAAGAGTGTATTGTGGGTTTTGGAAAAGGGGGGGGGGGGAGCATTTAAATGATGTATCTTTGTTCTGCCGCCTGGCCCCGCTCCAGAGATCTCTCACAAGGTTTCGTGCTGACGAGCTATTTATAGTAATGTGGCCCCATTGTCATGGCAACAGAGCTGGAGGCCAGGGCGCGGGCAGCTATTTCTGGGCTGTTTGTAATGTAACACTGGGAAAGTTAGATTATCCTCTTGAACTAGTCCAACTTGAGATAACCGATCAGTGATTTTTCTCCTCCGCTCCATTGTGGCTGGTGCTCTTCTTCAATAACCTGTACAGCTGTTGGGTCTGTGCCCGGAGAGGAAGGTTTGCTCGAGAGCACCTCTAGGTGTTCCATTGCCTTCTGTGTGCCGGAGGCCCCCAGTCTATAACCAGCTTTGCCCCTCTGCCTCATTGTGGGAGGAATGTGTTTTACAGGCGATCAACGTGAATTCTGACATTTCTATTACCCTGGTGTGTTGGGTTATGTTTTACCAAGATGTTCTCAAATGCAACATTGATGAAGGTTTTCAGTTTATTCCATTGAAATGAATTATTTGCATTTTATGTATACCTAACGTTTACATAACATGCAAGTTAACATAATGCTGAGCCTGTATAGCAAGCACCCAGAGTTGCTACATTATACCTTAATACTATATAGCTCCTTCACCATGAAGCTCCTGAAGTTGCAACATTATAAGTTCATAATGTCTAGCTCCTTCCCAATGAAGCACCCTGGCTTGCCACATTGTACTTTCATATTGTCTAGCTCCTTCCTGTTAAAGCATCCCGAGTTGCCACATTGTGCCTTCATAGTGTCTAGTACCTTCATAGTGTCTAGTTCCTTCCTGAAAAAGCACCCCGAGTTGCCACATTGTGCCTTCATAGTGTCTAGTACCTTCATAGTGTCTAGTTCCTTCCTGAAAAAGCACCCCGAGTTGCCACATTGTGCCTTCATAGTGTCTAGTACCTTCATAGTGTCTAGTTCCTTCCTGAAAAAGCACCCCGAGTTGCCACATTGTGCCTTCATAGTGTCTAGTACCTTCATAGTGTCTAGTTCCTTCCTGATAAAGCACCCGAGTTGCCACATTGTACCTTCATAGTGTCTAGTACCTTCATAGTGTCTAGTTCCTTCCTGATAAAGCACCCGAGTTGCCACATTGTGCCTTCATAGTGTCTAGTACCTTCACAGTGTCTAGTTCCTTCCTGAAAAAGCACCCCGAGTTGCCACATTGTACCTTCATAGTGCCTAGTACCTTCATAGTGTCTAGTTCCTTCCTGAAAAAGCACCCCGAGTTGCCACATTGTGCCTTCATAGTGTCTAGTACCTTCACAGTGTCTAGTTCCTTCCTGAAAAAGCACCCCGAGTTGCCACATTGTGCCTTCATAGTGTCTAGTACCTTCATAGTGTCTAGTTCCTTCCTGATAAAGCACCCGAGTTGCCACATTGTACCTTCATAGTGTCTAGTACCTTCATAGTGTCTAGTTCCTTCCTGATCAAGCATCCCGAGTTGCCACATTGTACCTTCATAGTGTCTAGTTCCTTCCTGATAAAGCATCCCGAGTTGCCATATTGTACCTTCATTGTGTCTAGTACCTTCATAGTGTCTAGTTCCTTCCTGATAAAGCATCCCGAGTTGCCATATTGTACCTTCATTGTGTCTAGTACCTTCATAGTGTCTAGTTCCTTCCTGATAAAGCACCCGAGTTGCCACATTGAACCTTCATAGTGTCTAGTACCTTCATAGTGTCTAGTTCCTTCCTGATAAAGCACCCCGAGTTGCCACATTGTACCTTCATAGTGTCTAGTTCCTTCCTGATCAAGCATCCCGAGTTGCCACATTGTACCTTCATCGTGTCTAGCTCCTTCCCGATGAAGCATCCCGAGTTGCGACATTGTACCTTCATCATGTCTAGCTCCTTCCCGATTAAGCATCCTGAGTTGCCACATTGTACATTCATAGTCTCTAGCTTCTTCCCAATGAAGCACCCCGACTTTCCTCATTGTACTTTCATCGTGTCTAGCTCCTTCCTGAGAAAGCACCCCAAGTTGCCACATTGTACATTCATAGTGGCTAACTCTTTCCCAGTAAAGCATCCTGCATTGCCACATTGTACCTTCATGGTATGGGACACACATGGGCACTTTCCTCTCTAGGACTGAACATGGGCAGCATTGCGAAAGGTGGATGTGGCATTATAGGGTGTCTGTTACAGTCAGCGTTACTTTGCTGCCTGCTAATGTATTAGGTGTATGGTTTAGTTAGCGTACCTGGAAAAGTATGAATATTTTTAGCTATTTTAGTGGCTTAGTTCAATGCATTCCTGCTGCATTCATGTGCTGTTATACTCCCAGTATACACGTTCCGAAATCAGAGATTCAAGTCCTTGAATACAGGTCGCATTGTTTTGTCTAACTTGCAGCTATGAGTTGGTAGGAAAGTCACGTGCAGTACTTACCTTTACTGCTACCTGCAGTATGCTGAGAAACCGTCCCCGGGAGTGTCGATGTCCTTGGGTCTCTTGCTTAGCTCACTGGAGGTCAGCTGGTGGAATCAGTCAGAGCTGCATGATACAGTTTATGTATTTGTTAATGTGCTGAGAGGAGTATGCAGGTTGCTGTACTGATGTATGAATGTGGCGCCATTAGTTTGAGCCACTGATGTGAAACAAGCACGCTCCAAGTGAATTTTGACCCTTTGGCCTGCACATTTGTTCAGGTCAGTGATTTAGAAAGCATTGAAGCCATTGGCTAACAAAATGGCTGCAAAGCTATATATAGTGTACTGGAACACTGAGGCGCCCACGTACCTGTAACAGCCTCCTAAACCGTGCACTTTCGGCCATATCCAGGGTCTGTTGTGAAAGACAGGGCTTCAGTATTTCCTGATGGTGCCAAAACTTGTCCTCCTCTTCCTGCCTCATGCACATTCCTATCATCATAGCAATGGGCCAATAAGAATTTGTGAGCTTTGACACTTTTGCACATCAAAGCAGCCTTGAATTTACACATAATGTTAAGGACATGGAGGCTGCTGCACAAATGTACACTTTATATCTATAGCATGTTTGATTAGTAGGGTGGGGAAAGGTTAGCATCTCCCTCTGGTTGCTATTGCTCCGTGTCTTCCTATCTTGGTGACATCTGAGCCTTTGCATTTCTTCTGTTACCAGCACAGAAAGTTGAGGCACATCTTCCTAGAGAGAAGGTTCTTTTAAATGATGGTATTGGTAGTTGGCCATCTGAAACAATTCTGTATAAACTGATAACTCCCTCCCAGATTGCTGATTGAACAGGTATGAGGTACCCACATTGTGTTTAGGTCATTCTGTTGGTCTCCTCACCTGTTGGCCTGTTGGTAAAAAACCCTTATTGGCTCTATGGTATTTTGTCTCCTCCCAATGTGAATGTAGCCATGAAAAGGATCAAAAGGACTTTTCAAAAACAAATACTATTGATTTTTTTTTTTAAGAATTACAATTTGTTAGATCCATTGTTATACATTTGTACCCTACAGATGTATAACAATTTACAGCAAAGACCCCTGGTGTCTCCATTACTGGTAGTGCCCTGAATCCCAGGCTGCCATCCGTTTCCATCTTGATTTATGTTGATGGGTGGCCAGTCTGCTACCAGTTCAACCAAAAAATGTCTGTGCCAAGTCTTAGACTGTGACGTTAAAATGTCTCTAGCTATATGAGTTAAGTGTGTACATTGGATACAGTTTTATGTAACCTCTTGTCACAATTTATTCACAAATCCTTGCTGGAACAAAATCTGTCCTTGCTGGAACAAAACATTGTCTGGTTTCATCTTTCTAATGAAACTTTGCAAAACTTTATGGTTGCTCTAGGCAACAGCTCCATCAGTTCTGCATACTTTAACTAAAAAGGTTTGGCTGCAAAGGCTGAAAACTTAATGTATTGTTTAAATAGTTTTCACTGTTTAAAATGTTGTATGATTGTGTTTAATAGCTTGTACTGGCTATTAATAAAGAGTCGACTGACTGCTAAGCTCACCTTTTTTTTTGTCTGCCCAGTTTTCTAGATAAAATCGACATTGTGCAACAGAATGACTACACACCCTCTGACCAGGTGAGTGCACCCCCTGTACACCAGATTTAATCTGCTTGTATGTTAAATCAACTTTTCTCTTATCTATGCCATTTTATTTTTTTGTTTTGGGTGCATGATGCAAGGTTTGATTCCCTGTCAAGCCTTCGCAGCAGTCTGATGTTGGCTGTGAACACGTCCAATTCTAATGCCACTGACCACTTGAACATTTGTTGTATGGAGAGAGCGATTTATAACAGTCAGCTTGAATTTTTCAATCCGTTTGATCACTTTCATAGAATCTGTCAAAATGGTAGTAGAGAATGATTCATGGGTAGGTTTCATAAGCATGGAGAAATCAATGGTTTCACAGAACAGTCAGATCAGTCAATTCTAGCCAGCATTAAACTCTTTTGGAAAGATCTAATCACCCATCCCTGACACAATCTTGACAGGCTGAGAGGTTGACTTGAAGTACCTGCAACCTTAAAGGAACAATTGCCTGATCCATTGGTAGAAAGGTTGTGTGCAGTTTAGCCGCCAGATTAACTCTGCACAGTTAGCTGCCTTCTACTGTCTTATAGCCACCTTTACAGCTGGGATGCTGGGGGTCGCAAATCTTCAGGTAAACCTTCTATTCCCATGCAGAATCCACATGGGCACACAAACAACTGTTGCTGGTGACAATGGATGTCCATTCTCTAAACCAAGCTAAACCGAGCTATGTGGTGAGGGAAGATTGTGCTGCTGGAGTTGCGGACAGCGGTTGGGAGCAAAAACAGACAGCGCTATGGTTCCCCTGATTCCCTCTGGTGGCACAATCATCAGCGCTGTCACAAGCTCCCCAGAAGTACCAGATATTTCCTTTGCTCAAGATGGCTGAACGGAATGGTGGAAGAGCAAAGGAAAGTAGGAGGAGGGGGCAATTTAAAAACAATAACACTGTTATTTTGACCTGCACGGTCTTGCTTTAAATGCAGTTTCTATGCATTTGCCTGTTTTTTTCGTTTTTTTTCTTTAGTAGTTACTTGCATTGCTTTGGTAGATCATATGGTTTTAGTATTTTGGTTCGGATGGCATTAGAATGCTGTAAACTCTTTGTTATCTCCTTTCTAAGAGACAATGCATTGTGCTCTCAATATTCCTACTAATCTAGTACTTATTTTTCCTATTCTTTTCCTTCTAGGACTTGCTACGGTGCAGAGTCCTGACATCAGGAATATTTGAAACAAAGTTTCAAGTTGACAAAGTGAACTTTCAGTAAGTAACACTCCTTGTTATATGTTCAATCCAGTATTATAGGAAATGAGAACTGTGCATAAGTATCATAAGGCCTTGTTCACACCAAGCGCAGAGCAGATCAGTTGCAGACCGGATCAAAACTGCCTCCAATGTATTCCAATGGCATTTTTTGCTCCAGTTCACATCACAGCTTGCAGTTCCAGAGCAGGTGAAAAAACTGAAGCAGGCCCTATTTTACCTGCTCTTGATCTGAAAACGCATCAAAAACACATGCAAATGCCTGGAACGCACTGAAAGCCCATTTTAAACTTTTTTTTAAAAACGCATCTAAAAGACTAGCGTGCATGTGCAGAAACCTGACCGGATCTGCTCTGCATTTGGTGTGAACAAGGCCTAAGGGCTCTTAGCAGAGCCACTTTTCGTTCAGGCTGATGGCTGAATAAAAAAAAAATGGAATGAATTTTCCCTGCTAGATAATGTATTCAGCAGCCCTTATTGGATACAGGCACTGGTTGGCTGAACATTTTCAGACCAGCATCTTTGACAAAGTCAAACTTTTGAAAAATCGAGTTTTGTGCAGTGGTGCCAACAGGGCCACTCACAATTAGAGTTTTGCCTTGCAGCACTGGAGGTCCCTGGTTCGAATCCCGGCCAGGTCACTATCTGCAATGAGTTTGCATGTTCTCCCTGTGCTTGCGTGGGTTTCCTCCGGGTACTCCGGTTTCCTCCCACACTCCAAAGACATGCTTGAAAATTGGCTCCTGTCTAAATTGTCCCTGTATGTATGCATGTGATATAGCAGGGGTGCCCACAATTTTTGTGTTAAGATCTACTTTTCAAATGGCGAGCTACACGGGATCTACCAAGGAAAAAAACTCCTTCGCTCTCTCTCTCTCCCGGCTGGCTCTCCTCGCTCTCTCTCCCGGCTGGCTCTCCTCGCTCTCTCTCCCGGCTGGCTCTCCTCGCTCTCTCTCCCGGCTGGCTCTCCTCGCTCTCTCTCCCGGCTGGCTCTCCTCGCTCTCTCTCCCGGCTGGCTCTCCTCGCTCTCTCTCCCGGCTGGCTCTCCTCGCTCTCTCTCCCGGCTGGCTCTCCTCGCTCTCTCTCCCGGCTGGCTCTCCTCGCTCTCTCTCCCGGCTGGCTCTCCTCGCTCTCTCTCCCGGCTGGCTCTCCTCGCTCTCTCTCCCGGCTGGCTCTCCTCGCTCTCTCTCCCGGCTGGCTCTCCTCGCTCTCTCTCCCGGCTGGCTCTCCTCGCTCTCTCTCCCGGCTGGCTCTCCTCGCTCTCTCTCCCGGCTGGCTCTCCTCGCTCTCTCTCCCGGCTGGCTCTCCTCGCTCTCTCTCCCGGCTGGCTCTCCTCGCTCTCTCTCCCGGCTGGCTCTCCTCGCTCTCTCTCCCGGCTGGCTCTCCTCGCTCTCTCTCCCGGCTGGCTCTCCTCGCTCTCTCTCCCGGCTGGCTCTCCTCGCTCTCTCTCCCGGCTGGCTCTCCTCGCTCTCTCTCCCGGCTGGCTCTCCTCGCTCTCTCTCCCGGCTGGCTCTCCTCGCTCTCTCTCCCGGCTGGCTCTCCTCGCTCTCTCTCCCGGCTGGCTCTCCTCGCTCTCTCTCCCGGCTGGCTCTCCTCGCTCTCTCTCCCGGCTGGCTCTCCTCGCTCTCTCTCCCGGCTGGCTCTCCTCGCTCTCTCTCCCGGCTGGCTCTCCTCGCTCTCTCTCCCGGCTGGCTCTCCTCGCTCTCTCTCCCGGCTGGCTCTCCTCGCTCTCTCTCCCGGCTGGCTCTCCTCGCTCTCTCTCCCGGCTGGCTCTCCTCGCTCTCTCTCCCGGCTGGCTCTCCTCGCTCTCTCTCCCGGCTGGCTCTCCTCGCTCTCTCTCCCGGCTGGCTCTCCTCGCTCTCTCTCCCGGCTGGCTCTCCTCGCTCTCTCTCCCGGCTGGCTCTCCTCGCTCTCTCTCCCGGCTGGCTCTCCTCGCTCTCTCTCCCGGCTGGCTCTCCTCGCTCTCTCTCCCGGCTGGCTCTCCTCGCTCTCTCTCCCGGCTGGCTCTCCTCGCTCTCTCTCCCGGCTGGCTCTCCTCGCTCTCTCTCCCGGCTGGCTCTCCTCGCTCTCTCTCCCGGCTGGCTCTCCTCGCTCTCTCTCCCGGCTGGCTCTCCTCGCTCTCTCTCCCGGCTGGCTCTCCTCGCTCTCTCTCCCGGCTGGCTCTCCTCGCTCTCTCTCCCGGCTGGCTCTCCTCGCTCTCTCTCCCGGCTGGCTCTCCTCGCTCTCTCTCCCGGCTGGCTCTCCTCGCTCTCTCTCCCGGCTGGCTCTCCTCGCTCTCTCTCCCGGCTGGCTCTCCTCGCTCTCTCTCCCGGCTGGCTCTCCTCGCTCTCTCTCCCGGCTGGCTCTCCTCGCTCTCTCTCCCGGCTGGCTCTCCTCGCTCTCTCTCCCGGCTGGCTCTCCTCGCTCTCTCTCCCGGCTGGCTCTCCTCGCTCTCTCTCCCGGCTGGCTCTCCTCGCTCTCTCTCCCGGCTGGCTCTCCTCGCTCTCTCTCCCGGCTGGCTCTCCTCGCTCTCTCTCCCGGCTGGCTCTCCTCGCTCTCTTTCCCGGCTGGCTCTCCTCTCTCTCCCCTGGCTGTCTCTCCCGGCTCACCTTGCTGTATTTTGCAACAGGCTGTGTAAACTAATATTCTTTGATGTAATACATAGCACTACAACCACCAGAATCCACCAGAAAGTGTCAGGGAGCTGGGCTCAGCAGACTCAGGGTAATAGGTAATAATGTGTGCACAGCTAAAGAAATATACCAAAATGGAAAAAAGGGACCACCATTCACACCCTTCGTGATCTACCAGGATCAGCTTTGAGAGCTACTGGTAGATCACGATCTACTTAATGGGCACCCCTGTGATATAGGGACCTTGGATTGTAAGCTCCTTGAGGGCAGGGACTGAAAGTGAATGTACACTCTGTAAAAGCGCTGCGTAGATTGTCGGCGCTATATAAATACCTGGAATGAATGAATGGCCTGTTCATCAGCAACCAGATTTAATTTGCTCCATGTATGGCCAGCTGGGTCATAATAAAGAGAGTTATGTTGCACTGGAGTTACTTCCTACATTTCAACCTCTGACAAGCCACATCTTTCGTATCTGATCTATTCGATCTTTGCCTGTTCAAGCATGAGAGCTTTCAGGAATAAAATGGCATTAGGAAGATGACCATGGACTTCAGAGCCTGTGCCTGTTTAAGCTTCTTGTCACTTCTCCCCCATCCCACACATAAGCTTACAGAGCAAACATTGCAACTGTAAAACAGGTTACAACTTTCAACTGCTGTGCAACTCTTATTTCAAGGAGGTACACTAACCCAAGTTTGTTTTGATTTAGTTGATCTCTGGACTTGAGCATATAAGTGAACTGGAAGGGTATTTTACATATTTGCCTGAAATTCTTCTTTAACTGTTTTCATTTTTCCTGCAGCATGTTTGATGTCGGGGGTCAGCGTGATGAGCGCAGAAAATGGATTCAGTGCTTTAATGGTAAGTTATCCATCATTGCTTCTTATACAAAAACCAAAGCTATGATGTTGGATATCTTTCACGTAGAGTTTACAAGTGCACATTTTGACTTATTACTATGAGGTTTACTTGAAGTTGTTTTTGTCTTTTTGTATTTTTTGTAATATTTGCTTGCTATTTGAAAGATATAAAATTAAATCAGTAGAATTCTAGGTGCTGTCTGTAGTTGCCTTTTCAGACAGGGCAGGTCCACATCTTTCGCTGAATGGCTGCTGGGCAAAAATCAATCAAGATTGGTCAGTCACGGTCTGTTGGCAGGTCTTTGTCCATAGACATGTATTGGCATAACAGGAACCATAAACATCAAGCACCGTGCACCACTATTATTGATATAGCATAAAGTATAGTACATCGTGAACAGCTATGGCTTACGTTATTCATTTGTTTCAAAGGTAATTCATTTTTATGCACATATAGCAGTGGTGTGTGTGTGTGTGTATTCTTCATCAGATGTGTTGCCATGGGATACAGCACAGATCTTTTGTGAGCTGGGTGAGGTTGAATCCCATAGCAAGAGATGTAAATAGGTCCGACCCTTTTTTCTACAAGAGTGATACAGAGGAATGGTTGGAAAAGAAGCCAGTGTATATGTAGTAAGAAAGGAAGGGTTGTACTTACTAGTAAGCTAAATTCATATGCAGGGCCTGTAAAATGTATTCACCCCTGAAGAAGTTATATCGAATTTTCATAGCAGATTGAATCACAGTGGTCATTACAGATGCAAGTTGAGCTGCAGTTTCAGCTCTGAGTGTCAATGGGCCTCTGTCAGCTTTTCACTACAAATGTTTCCCATTTACTTTTGCAAAGCTGCTTTTGGCTCTGTCAGGTTGTATTGGGATCATAAGTGAACAGCCCTTTCAAGTCCAGCCACAAATTAAAATCTGAACTTTGACATGGCCATTCCAGAGCATTAACATTTGTTTTTATGAGCCATTTTTGTGTAGTGTTGGCTTCACCCTTGGAGCTGTTGTTCTGTTACAAGACAATCCTCTCGCAAGTCTCAGGTTTCTTGCAGACTACATCGGGTTTTCCTCCATGATTACGCTGCGGTTTCTTTATTCTACCATGACAAGCCTTTTTAGGGCCTGCTGCAGAGAAGCATTAAAGCATAATGCTGCCACCATCATGCTTCACAGTGGGGATGAAGCTTTTATGACTGTGCCCCATTTGGTTTATGTCAAGCATGTTTAGTCTATCTGATGGCCAAAAGGATCAGCTGTGGTCTTATCAGACCATAGAATCCTGGCAAACTGTAAAGGGGATGTCATGTAAGTTATAATAATGAATAATGAGGCACTAGTGAACCACCTGGCCAATATTTGTATGCATAATCACTCCAGTCTCACCAAATTGAGCTGTTAACTCTTTCAGGGTTGTCATAGGACTCTGTGGCTCCCCTTACAAGTCTGCTCCTTGCACCGTCAATGTAATTAAGTCACTTTGCAGAGATCTATTTACACTTTCACATGAAAGAGTCCATGTCTCTTGACCAATGAAACAAAATGATATCCGCTGTGGAACGTTGTTCCAAATGTGTTGACGAGCACTGATTTAGGAGTCTTTGGAATATGAGGTCATCCGAGGCACCTACTGTATATGACAAACTTGTTTAAGACCTTTGCAAGTCGACTGTGATGTTTTAAAACATTTTAATCAGAGTTAAAAATATGGTGATCCGAGAGGACAATCAGACCAACAGACTCCAGGAAGCACTAAACCTCTTCAAAAGCATCTGGAACAATAGGTACATACGCGTCATTTATTTACAATTATAATTTTTTAGGAGTTTCTCTACAGATGACTTGATTGCCCGCATCGGAACGTGCGGTACCTCAATGCCGTGCGTTCCAATGCGGTGCGACTTGGGTCGCGACTTCATGACCAAGGACAAATGTGGGTCCTGAGGTTACACAGGTTGAGAACCACTGCTCTAGAAGATCTCTCTACAGATCACATCCTCCAGAAGTGTGAATGGGAAGGAGATACGTCTCTTTGTGTGTATGTGCTCTGTTTTGATTGGATTGCTGCTTCAGTGTTATGAGAAATCAAATTTTTTTTGTGCATTGTAGATGGCTACGGACAATTTCAGTCATTCTCTTCTTGAATAAACAAGATCTCCTTGCTGAGAAGGTTTTGGCTGGGAAATCGAAAATCGAGGACTACTTTCCAGAGTTTGCTCGTTACACCACCCCAGATGATGGTATGGGTTTATCTGTGCTGTTGCTGAACTATAGAAATGGTTTTGGTATAATGATGGGTGGGTGAAGTTTAACAGGTTTACTTCAGAACTACTTCTCTCCCCATACAAGTCAATAGGAATACAAAAGCAGCAGCTTAATGCAGCTTAGGATGTGAACTGCAGGTCATAGGCACCTGTCTATGATCTTTACATGATTTTAGAAGCATCTCAAACGGATCTTAAATGCAAGTGGAATGGACCTAAAAGTGAGCTACATTTGCCTATCGACACAATCCATTATAATACCTAGAAAGAATCCTATTCAAAAAAATTCAAGTTCAATTAACAAAAAACATTTGTAAAGATACCCCTAGACCCATGTACACGCACAGGCAAATGCACATATTGGGTGCACGCACATACTGGGCATCACACCATGGACTGAGAGCAATCATTTTAGGGCCATCACTCACTGATAACTCATGACCCATAAGTGCTTTTAAAGCGTCCCTTCTGGTCAGTTTTGGTTACTTTATTTTTTTGCCATTTCATGGGCCGGCACAATTATGAAGCTTTGCGTATTTGGTATCTTTTTAATCAATGCAACCTCATTATATTTTATCAAAAAATATGGAATGTAATGTGTTTTTGTTTAGTTTTTTTTGCTGAAAATAGAGATTTGATAAACAATAGCTCAAGTATTCTGTGATATAAGAAATTGCTGCTACTACCTTTTTATTCTAGAAGGCCTTTGCTTTCAGAACAATGTTTTGAGTGAACGTTCATTACGTAAAAATGTGCATTTTCAGTATGTGTGCACAAAATTAGCAAATTGTAGCAAAAGGAGTAAAAAATAAACGTTTTAAAATGTAGTATTTAGTGGGGTCTTACACATTTAAACATACATGTAGGAAACTTCTGTGATATGTCAGTGTTCTATATTTTTATACTTGTGTCCTTGTTTATAGATGTTGATCCCATAGTGATATATAACATGGCTACGGGTAGTTTTTTTTTTTTTGCTGGTGTAAATTACTACACTTTCCCTTTTTAGTGTAAAGCTGGTCATATACATTACAATCGCTCTTAGATTAACTAAACCTATGTAATGTGCTATGTACTTGTTGATAGATATAGGTTAGATTATTTAGATCGTCTTGCCTAAATCACAGTGCTGGAACCTAGAGGTACCTTCACATACCTGTATCGGCTTTTAGTGCCCTTGCTCTGACTGGACATTAAAACTGTATTGATCAGGCAATATTTTAGCACTTGCTGGTTGTGCTCAAAGTTTGCTTGCCTGCTTTTAACACATACCTATGTGCCTTGTGGAGGCAGGAGGTAATTGACAAGCTCTGAGCCTACCAGTAAGCTGCAAAGCTTTGCTGATCAGGACTGTCTGGCTTTTTTTTTTTCCTTAACGTAAAAGTCACTTGAACTCTTTACATCTTTTAATCCTTTCAACTTTTTTTGTTTGTTTGTTTCTAGCAAATCCAGAGGCTGAGGAAGACCCCAGAGTCACAAGGGCCAAGTACTTTATTAGAGATGAGTTTCTTGTAAGTATTGCTTTATCCTGTTGTTTTTTTTTTTTTATTATTTGATTTTTACTGGACCCTTTGGAGAGGCTCAAGCTCCATGCTATTTCCATAGCTGTAAAGATGTCCATAATCATTTGTAATTCAAGCGACATCAGAGCAGGCCCTAGTATTTAGATAGAGCGACGTACTTCTTCAGCAGCTCTCGGAAGATGCAGGTTTGTAAGTGTCTGTATTTAATTATGTGTCTGTGTCGAAAGCAGAAATAACTTGCAGACTATGCCAGTTAGAATTTTGTGTATTTGCTAGGTCCTAATCAACACGGTAATCTCTTGCTACATGCGGCGAAAACCATAGCGTATTCCTCTATTGCATAGCGGAGTAACATGGATGAACTTATGACAAGTTGCTACAAATAACAAAGCTCCCTTAAATGTTTGGCTCTTTTTTCTGAATTTAGTGCTTAGGACAATAGCGCGCTGAAGCTTTACATGCTAGCATTTAAATTAAACTTGTCACAAACCTGAGCAATTCAAGCAGAAAAGCATGATGAGAAACATATAAGGACAGGTTGTCTTCAGTGAAAAAGCAAGACAAAATGATGAGCAAAGATCCAGAGACGCATGCAGCTAAAATTGTATGCAAATGTGGACTGTTCTGTGAAGCCAAGCTTCGCCTTGCTCACCTCTGCTCTCGTTTTGGTGAGGCCACACGTCACTGAGTCCATGTTCACACTGTCCGTGTTAGCACTATGGGTGCTGCACGGGGAAAAAATACACCTTTGACTGGGCACTTTTGGGGTGCCGTTAACAAATAATTTAGCGCATGTTCACACATTGCAAAGGTGTGAACGGGGACTAAGGAACGTCCTTAGGGAGGCTTCGGAGGAGGTGGAGCCAAGTTTAATTTTGAAGGAAAGGTCAAGATTTGCATATTGTTTCAGATGCCTTTTTCAATGGATCATATCTCTACACCCCCCTTCACACACATAATAGTAGTCTCCAGCACTCAGATATGCGCAAGAACTAAAGCACTTTTTATTGTCACATGCGTCATACAGCCAACGTTTCTGGGCCACGCACTGTCCCTTCTTCTGGGCGACGTAGTGACCTCTTGTATTTAAATATTTATGACACGTATACTTCAATGGTCAGTAAATGTTGGTTGTTTATAAAAACAAAACTGTATTGCATGGAAGAAATGTTATGACTGTCAAAGCAGTGCCCAGCTGCCATTTATGAGCCTCTTTTAATCCTGAAATGGCTGTACGGCCTCAAGAACATTTGCATACATTCCATTACATGTCTTTTTTCTTTCCCTGCAGAGAATCAGTACAGCAAGCGGAGACGGCCGGCACTACTGTTACCCTCACTTCACATGTGCGGTGGACACGGAAAATATTCGAAGGGTTTTTAATGATTGTCGGGACATTATCCAAAGGATGCACCTCCGTCAGTACGAACTGTTGTGATGGAGAGATTCGTCTATATATTTTTTCCTTTTTTTTTTTCCTGGACTCTTAATTCAATTAAAAAAAGAAATGAAACTGCAAAAATCCCACAGAAAAACAAACAAAAAAATCTATAAAAAAATAAAGGGGGCGGGGGAAACAATTCACCCATCAAGGGAGGGAAAAAAAAAACCTGCGTGCAAACTCCCTCTCCAGCTTGCACCTGTTTTTACTTGTTTCCTTGCTGCCGGACAATTGTGGAACTGTTAGCTTGCTGCCCTTCACCCCCCTCGATGCCCTGAAACAGCACGGGCTGGCGCCAAATCTTCCCTTGACCTCTCCCCCCTTTACACCCCCTCTCCCTTTCAAAATGCCAACATTAAATGCAGTGCGCGTGGAGGATTTTGACTTAATGTAAGGTATACAAATGCAGCTGGAATTGAGGGACTGTACAGTTGGACACCTGACTCTTGACTGTAAAAAAAAAAAAGAAAGAAAAAATTGTCTTGGTATCACTGATCTGCCACCGTTGGGTGTGTAGTTGCAAGAGGTAATTTATTTTGCCTTTCACAATGGTGCCATTGTTTTCTTTTCCTTTTTAATTTTTTTTTATTTTTATTTTTTTCTTTAGAGAAAATAATAAATACCTGGATATGAATTTAAACATATCAATGTATTTATTTTCTAAATAAAAGCCCTGGCCATTTTAATTTGGTCACAGTTAACCATGCTTTTTTTTTTATTTTATTTTTTTGTGCCTTCCTCCTCACCCCACCACCACTCCACTTTATCCTTAGATGACCTTTTGTGTGATCTTTAAATCTTCAGTCCTGAACAGAATGTTAGACCTATCCGCACGAACATGATCACTTCCTTTTTCCTTCTGTGCAACACCCCACTTCCCTACACTTTTTTTTTATTTTGTGTTTGTTTTTTTTTTGTTTTTGTTTTTTTTTTATTTTACTGCTGGATTATTCTTTGTACAGAATGTAAAATGTATTATTTTGTACAACTTTATTGAAAAAAAAAATAACTTGTAGAAGATCTTTGTGCCTTGATTTTGGCTGTGCCCTGTACAATGAGCTAAAGATGTAAGTATGTCAAAAAAAAAAATTACTCTGTACAGCAAATGTCACCTTTGCCCCCTTTCCCCTCCTGCGCTCGTTCGGACATCGGGCAAATCGATCTGTAGTACTAGTTATTTTTTTTTCTTCCTGGTTTACAAAAAGGTAAAAAAAAATAAAAAAAAATTGTTTAGTTAAAAAAAGAAAATGTACAAATGTTGCAAATTTAACCACTTTAAAAGTGGGTCGTCATGGTGTGACCCACTGTGGCTTCATCGTGCTTTTTAACTTTTAGCTTGAACTCATTTAAATCTCTATCCAAATGCAAGAACCTGGCTTGTTTCTACATAAACAAAATTTTGCTACAAAGTGCTAGTCGTTTTATCCTTGGAAATACCTATTTTAAATTCTTTTTTTCATTTTATTTATTTTTTTTAGTCACACTCCGTTACGTAGCTCAATTTCTCCACAAGCAGCAAACCTTTCTTGAGGGAATTACGTAGGCTGACATTGCTTTTTGTTTTGCGGTCATGAGGATCCCCTGGCTTCAGTAGGTAGGAGTCAGAGAGCTGGTAAATGTAAGCCGCAGCTTATTCAAAAATGAGATCAGGAACTCATGGTACAGAAGTCCTGGGGAAACCAAACTTCCTGGTAACTATCATTTGTAGAAAAAGAGGTCAACAATGGTAGTCTCGGTATATATCATATACGACCAGTTACCTTTTGATAGATCAGTAGACCCGAACTCATTTTGGGTAAAAAGCTGATGTGTTAAATATATCCTTTGCTTTTTTTTTAATCTCTCTCAACAGTGGGATACATGTATTTGTTCTGGCTCTATTTAGTTGTCTTTAATGTGTTTCACCACCTCAGGGCCTTTGCTGCTTTTGATGCAAGGTGAGTTTCTACTTTCAGGCTTCCTCTTTGTCTCTTGGCTCCCGGATGCCTCAGGAGAAACCGCTCAGGAAGCCAATATATTGTTTTTCCAGCATCTTTATTTGCACCAGCCGCACTCTAGTGAAAAGCCGGTTGTCTTCATAGTATGTAGGCGGATCTCCTTGCTAAGGATCATCTGAGATGTTGGATGATAAAGCATGCCAGTGACCCAAAACCAATATTTCAATGACAAAACTTTTTGATGCTTTCGATCAACCAGCAGCTTGTTGTGGTGTCAGAAGAGTGGAATTTCCCTCCAGAGGTCCCTATTCTGACTTCCGCCAGTGTCGCTTGACCTAAGTGTGGCCTTATGGAGGTGTTCTCAAGAAGTATATGCTGGTATTGGTGCACAGGCCCAGCGCCCATAGTTATTGGACCATTGTGCTAAGATCTCCCTTCTGGTGCCTATACAAATTACCGGAAGCTGAAGAATGATGTGCTGTTATTTCATTCAAAATCTGACCCAAAACTGTGTGCATAATTAAGAGGCGGATGCACAAATTTAATCAGGGGTATCTGAGCGTACTGCCTTTGCCCATGGCATCTGATTGGCTTGTCACTTTGATTTTTAACCTGTTCTCTTTCACTTAGCGAAGCTTGTTATTTGATAATGACAAACACAGATGGTCCTCATTTCAGACCCTAAATGGGTCCTTAAGTGGAATCTTCATTGGTCCAATTTTCATCTTAAAGTGACATTAAACCCTCAGATTTTGTAACATAAACCAATACTGTAATGTGCGCCTTACTGTAATCCATGGTAGTTTCCCTTCTCTTTGCTGCTCTTCCTTTTTAAATCCTCATGTCTTCTCATGCTTGGGGAGAACTTCCCTTTGCAGCTGGGTGCCTCTTCCTGTAGTGCTGGCTCAGGTTGCAAACCAACACACAGACACCATGTATCCCTTTCAGAGACAAGGCAGTCTGCTGCAAAACAGAAGTTCTACTCAGCATGAGAACAGATACAGATTTAAAAGCAAGAGCAGCAAAGAGAAGGGAAACAACCATGGATTACAGTAAGGCGCACATTACAGTATTGTTTTATGTTAAAAAATCTGAGGGTTTAATGTCACTTTAAGGTGAAACTGTGATACTAAGAGAATCAAAAACGCCCCCTCCAGCTCAGCAATGTCCTCCCATTTCTATGATTTTATTTTTTTCCATACATGGTCATCTTTGTGCAATAAATCGAAGGACATTGATGGTCATGTTATGTTATATTCAACAACTGCTTGTAATTAGACCTACAGCTCCAAACAGAGTTCTGAGACGGGTAGTGAGTCGGCTACAGAAGCAGGAAAATGACAACTCCAAGATATTCTGACGAAACACTGAAGACAGTTGCCGTGAATGCAAGAAAGAAAAAGATTTTATTTTTGAATGCCCATTGCAGGAAGTGGATGCAGATTGAAACCAAGATGTGATTTTTGATAAAGTACAAAATTACTTGTATATTAAGTAATCAGTGTTCTCTGTTTTTAATAAATCTAAACATTTCCTTTAAAAGAAAACTTTCTCAAATCACAACTTCAGACTTTTTTTTTTTAAGTTTTGGATAGGCTTAGTGAGTAAATGCCTAAAGTTTTTATTGCCATCTGTAAACTTGTTGGAGAGATTCACCTTTTGATGGCAGGAAAATAAATAAAAGGGAGCGATTGTCACTGGGACAGGAAAACCCAGACCATCTCCACTAAAGAGATCTCCCACTACTTCCTGCCTCAACAGAAAATAAGGGGACATCGTACGAATGGGTACACAGACCACATATGGCAAGGTGGTTCCCACCCTTCCCTGCGCTGTCCAGAATCTCAAAAAATAAATGTTGCCTGAAGTTGGATTTAATTCTGACTTGGTAATTGGAGTAAGCCTTTGTGTATAATTGTCTCAACCTCTGCAGTTAGGGTAGCAACATTGTGAGTTTTACTGTTTACTGAAATGCATTTTATCCTTGACAACAGTGTTTCCCAACTGCGTTTGTCAAGAGCCACCAATGAATCAGGTTTTCCAGACATCCAGTGAGCAGCAAAATCTGTTTTGACCACAGTGTAAAAGAAGCTCACCATCTCAATTGTGGGAATACATAAAATGTTAAAGAAAATCTGCTGAGAGGTGATAATGTCTTGTTGAAATTTCCAGGCAAAGTTGCTCAAACCAGATCTTTGAAAACAATAATGCAAACCTGTAATGGGAGACATACAAAGATTCCAAAAATGCTAGTTGCACGTCTGACATCTTCTGTAAAACTCGCACTTGACACAAGCATACAGCAAGTGGTCATCACTGCTGAGCTACATATTTGTTCTGGGTCACTGACTCAGAATTCATCAAAGTCATAGGCTTAACATGACAAACGGACAACTGACAATTTCAGAGCAACAGCAGCCTCCCATGACCTCCCAGGTTTCTATAAATGCTTTCTGAGAACAGGTTTGGTCAGTGCTTTGAAGTTTTTCTTGCACCTTAAAATTTTTGGTAACTGGTCAATCCACCTAAAACTATATTTTGACTGTGGGGAAAGCTTGCTGGTATCCCCTGGCTTCCTATATGTCTTGGATACTCCAACATAAGATTTTCCTGTCATAATCTCTGTTTGTGTTCCAGTTCTTCCTATTAAAGTCTCTATAATAAAAAAAAATCTATCAGGCTGGTGGGAGCCTTTCATAATGGGCTCTGGAGCTGTGCAGAATCGGGAACTCCCTGCAATCTCACCAATAGTCCCCAAATGATAGAAGACACCGTCCAGCAGCTACCAAAAGGCATGTTGGCGAACTCTCATGCAAGCCATGTAATGTCCGTGGCCTGAAACCAGTATGTAGTTAGTGTATGTAAACCCTTAACAACTTCTCTCATGTGCTTCCCCTTTGGTCTGTTTAAATTTGCAATTGAAAGTGTTTTTTATAAAGTTCTGCTGAGAAAAGTCAATCCTTTTGGCTGACATTTTTCTTCAAGATTCCTGCTATATTACTGTATGAGCTGGGCTCTCCACATGCCCAGCTATCCAGTTCGGCCTAGGCTCAGCGTAGCATCGGAGTGCCATGCCTGGACCCTGTTGGACTGGATGTTACAGGGCTAGCCTGGAAGTTTACCTTCAGGCACTGGGTTCCACATGAGACACTCTCCAGACCTCATTTTGGTAACAAGTTAGCCCTTGGAGAGCATTCCAGGTACAGAGCCTCTGGCATTTCTGGAGACAAACCTGCCTAAGAGTGGCAATCGTTGCTATCACTTCTAAACTAAATGAGAAAAAAAACATTTTGACTTTCGATGCAGTATGTACGACCTTAAAGTGAGAGGATTCGCTTGTCTTTTCTTCCAGCGCTTTTCTCCGTTTAGAGCTTCTAAGACTGCCAATACCTCACTGGTGCACCTGCTACTCTTAGAACTTCTTCTATTGGGACCTGAAGTATTCTGACATAATGTTTGTACCTCACACATACTTATTAACCCTGTTTGTGG